TGTATGTATATATATGTATGTGTGTATATGTATGTGTGTATATATATGTATGTGTGTATATATATGTATGTGTGTATATATATGTATGTGTGTATATATATGTGTGTATATATATGTATGTATATATATGTATGTGTGTATATGTATGTGTGTATATATATGTATGTGTGTATATATATGTATGTGTGTATATATATGTATGTGTGTATATATATGTGTGTATATATATGTATGTATATATATGTATGTGTGTATATGTATGTGTGTATATATATGTATGTGTGTATATATATGTATGTGTGTATATATATGTATGTGTGTATATATATGTGTGTATATATATGTATGTATATATATGTATGTGTGTATATGTATGTGTGTATATATATGTATGTGTGTATATATATGTATGTGTGTATATATATGTATGTGTGTATATATATGTGTGTATATATATGTATGTATATATATGTATGTGTGTATATGTATGTGTGTATATATATGTATGTGTGTATATATATGTATGTGTGTATATATATGTATGTGTGTATATATATGTGTGTATATATATGTATGTATATATATGTATGTGTGTATATGTATGTGTGTATATATATGTATGTGTGTATATATATGTATGTGTGTATATATATGTATGTGTGTATATATATGTGTGTATATATATGTATGTATATATATGTATGTGTGTATATGTATGTGTGTATATATATGTATGTGTGTATATATATGTATGTGTGTATATATATGTATGTGTGTATATATATGTGTGTATATATATGTATGTATATATATGTATGTGTGTATATGTATGTGTGTATATATATGTATGTGTGTATATATATGTATGTGTGTATATATATGTATGTGTGTATATATATGTATGTGTGTATATATATGTATGTGTATATATATATATATGTATGTGTGTGTGTGTATATATATATATATGTATGTGTATATGCGTATATAATCAACAAGGTCCTTGTTGGGTGCTGAGGAACCAGGGCAACCTGATGAGAAGTGGGCTACTGGAACAAGACATTCATGGACAAGAGATGAGAACATGAAACTATTAGAATGCTACTATACAAGTAAGCCCAGCGAGAGGGGTTACATATGGAGGATGTGGGACCTATGCATACTTCGAAACTCAACATCTAGACTAACGTTGAAACAACTTGTAGCTCAGTGTTCTAACATCCACAAGAAGCACCTGCTATCACAATTAGAGATTGACGAGGTACAACACGAAGGCTCCAGCAAGGGGGAGCCAGGACAACAGGTCAGGGGGGAGATATCATCACCCCCACAATTGGAGATTAGGTACCAAGCCCCAGTAACAAGCCCAGATAAGCTTAATACAAGAGCAGTGTTAGGTATTTTTAGTCAGATATTGGTTAGGTACTTGTTGTATTAGGATAAACTGCAGATATGAAGGGCCTAGTGTTGCTTTTCTAGGCCGTTTGGTGTCAGCATCGGGCTTACACATAGCTGAGACACAAAGGACAGACATCCTCTGTCATTCTAAGCCCACTACAGTCAGAGAAATTATGAAGGTTTTTGGGACTGATTTATTTCAGTAAGAATCTTGTACCTGACCTTGCCGACCTGGTGGCACCGCACCGTGCCATGCTGACAGAAGCAGGTTACAAGAAGTATGGTTCTGCTTTGGTATGGACCACACAAGCAGAAAAGGCTTTTGTGGACATCAAACAAGCTTTGTCACATGCATGTACTTTACATGCACCTGATTATTCTCAAGCTCTCCACCTGGATGTTAATGAAAAGGACTGCATTGTAAATGCAGGCCTGTTTCAAAGGGGGGATGACAGTAGGAGTCACAATCAAAAGGTGTTGATGTACTATAGCTCTAAGCTAGATAATGTTGAAAGAGGACATCCAATTTGTGTGAGACATGTTGCTGCAATTGGTGGAGCAATATTGCAAATAGCACACATCACAATGGGCTATCAGTCTGTCGTACACACAACGCACGCGGTACAATTATTTCTGGACTCTAAAGCATTCACATTGTCTGCACAGAGGACTCAGAACTTACAGAATTTTTTTAACAAAGCTCACATACAGTACACTTCACAAGTGAAGGAACAAACATGGCTGCGCAGATGGTCACTGACTGACCAAAGGCCATGATTGGGTGAGCAGGACAGACATTGAAGTGAGATTACATAAAAACTTGTATAGGGAACAGCTACCTGACGCATAGCTGACCCTGTACTGTGATGGACACAGCCATCAGACTACTACAGGTAGTTTGGTTGCTTCATATGCTGTGGTGGAGGACACAACAGCGGGCTTCAGAGTGCTGCAAGCTGATGTGATCCCACAGCCAAGTTCAGCTCAGATGGCTGAGCTCATTGCTCTCATACAAGCATGTAAGTTGTCAAAAGACAAAGTGGTGAACATTTATACTGATTCTGCA